TTTTCTACCGCTTCTATTGCTTTGCTTTTTCTCTGTCACTCCAGGTCAAATTCACAGCACCATATTTTGTTGTTGGTGCAATAAGTCGGCCCTAACTGCTATACCTTGATGTTCTACTGCTTATATAAGTATTTCTGGATATATCTTAACAACATCTGGAAATGATGACAACCTCAGCGCCATCTGTCAATCGATTGTCTACAAAATATGGGATCCGTGACGACTTTCAACCCTATAGGCTTCAGTGTTCGAATTTATTTTAAAGATATTTTTACCTCTCTGCTCTTCTTAATATATTTCCCGAGCATGGTAAATTATTCCCTGTGCCTAGTTAAGTAGCATGAATAAAAGACGCATGGAAGTTTGAAGGTACAGGTCTAAGCTCTCTTAATTTCTGCACTAGATTGAGGTGAGTGATCACCTTCGCCCTCTGGCTGCTCACTCACGCGACAGGAGCCCGCAGATGAACACTAGCTGGACAGCCGGTGGACGACAGAGCCGGTATGTTAGTTGTGGGAAGGAAGAAAGAATTATCATCCCGGGGAACAGAACCCCGGTCTCTCAGCCCATACCTTATCACTATCATTACTGAAAAATTCCGTTTCCTTTATTACATTTGATACATTTCAAAATGCCTGTGCTTTTTCAGTTAGTTTGTTATCTGGCAGGGTTTCTTACTTCTGATTTTTATCTGTTTCATAAAGAGTAAATAAAATTTATGCAGAAAGGCTCTACTTAAGATTAGTGCTGTAAGTGATGTAAGCCCGGCAAGTAGGTTCCTGTGAACCACATTGTACGGCGTCACATCTCAGACGACCGTAATCTCGACATGCACCTCGTGAGAATATCAGTCTAACAAGCACGAAGAAGCACACGTGGCCATGTATATACGCAAGCTATGATACTTCGACAATAATGTATTTCCCTATATATTTTGCACATATAACCTTAGATCTGTACAGTGGGAATGGATTTTTTTCCTTGGCCCTACAGCCCCAGTGGGCCTAGGCCTACCTCCATGAACTTCTCCGTTCACTTGGGTTTTTCTAGATCTTACACATTCGGTAGGACTCCTTGGGCGGGTGATTAGCTCGTCGCAAGAAACACAGAAACAGAAAAAGGCACACACACACAAACTAAATATTCATGCCCTGAGTGGGATTCGAACCCACGATCCCGGTTTCAAAGCGAGCGAAGACAGTACATGCCTTACACCGCTCGGCTACCGTGACCGGTGGGAATGGATTTAGTCAGCGCTAAATTCCCTTTTCCTAGAAATGTAGGAGAAACGAAGTTCGAATCCCGCTAGGGTCAAGAATTTTCTCTTCTCCACATCGCGAAGTCCGACTCTGGGGTCCACTCAACTTCTTGGGGTTCTTTCCCGGGAGTAAGGCGGCTGGGGCGTGAAGCTGACCACTCACCTCCAACTAGTGTCGAGGTCAAGAAAATATGGATATATATATATCCACTCCCCCATAGGCCTTCATGGAGTAGTGCGTAATTAGTTAAACTCAGGGACAACTTTACCTTTCATCATTGGTATACACCAAATACGTAATAATAAAATAAGTACTGTATGAAACGGTTTAGTGCGGGCAGGATTGCAGCAATTTCCGGGAGCTTATGTAATGAGTGTTGTAACGACATCGTGCAAATGACACCAACAAACCCGCATAGTTTGGCATGGAGGCCAGAAAGGCGCACAACCCACAAAGTTAAATATGAATACTCTTTCTGTATTGTTATATGCTTTTTCTTATTGCTAGTGGGGTGAAACTAAGTCCCTTGCACTGCGGCCNATATATATATCCACTCCCCCATAGGCCTTCATGGAGTAGTGCGTAATTAGTTAAACTCAGGGACAACTTTACCTTTCATCATTGGTATACACCAAATACGTAATAATAAAATAAGTACTGTATGAAACGGTTTAGTGCGGGCAGGATTGCAGCAATTTCCGGGAGCTTATGTAATGAGTGCTGAAACGACATCGTGCAAATGACACCAACAAACCCGCATAGTTTGGCATGGAGGCCAGAAAGGCGCACAACCCACAAAGTTAAATATGAATACTCTTTCTGTATTGTTATATGC